CCAGTGCCAATTTTAAGCAAAATAGGAAAAGCAAACACAGCAAGGGCAGTGATATGCAAACACTTCTAATGTATCTTAATGAGTCACTTTATCTTTGAAATTTTCAAGTGTATTTCACATTATTTTCAACTCATTGAATTGACACAATATCTGGCTCTCCAAGTAAGTTCAGGAAGAGATGTTTACCAAATGCAAATAATTGGCATGGGCAGAAGTGGCATAACATAGACTATGGACAGTAAATTCATATACGAGCAGCTGAGGGTCACGATTTTTTCAAGGGTCATTTATGCTGAGCTTTCATAAGCCTACTTTAAATTGGGACATACACACCCATCATATTTGTGTTCTGAAATCTTTTAGTATTCTTCAAACCCGTAGATTAAAAAAAAATCTTCGTAATTCTTTTCAAATGCAGAGATGTCTAGCTTGAGTTTTAGAACTCAATGTCATCTCGTAAATTACACTGCTCATAGAGACTTTCCCAAAAAATGGCAGCAAAGAATTGGAGATTCTTTCTATGATTCCATCTCTTACAGGAATACATACTAACGTGTTGATGGAAGAAAAACGTCATTATACAGATTGAAAAACAAGACAGGTCACCGCTGTTCGTATAAGACTTGTTTCTCTTGGAAACACAAGGACAATAAGATGAAATCCCGATGGAATATGTATAAAAAATGAAAAACGACTGCAGGAGTCCAAGAATCCCAGGGAAACGCTGAGCTTATACCGCAGCTAATAATTTGAAAAACATTCTATCCAAAATAAACTCCATTGCAAATTCTTATCATTTTGAAGCTGTACTCCGTATGATTAAATGCAAACCCAACAAAGGAGCATTTTAATTCTCAAGGCTGTCCAAAAAAAACCACATCTTTTAAGACAAGTCAAAACTTGACATACACTCAATTTGACCTCAGGAAACGAACCCTTCCCTTAGCAGACAAGTGCCATTTTTTTCCCTCAAACTCTAGGAACATCGGAACATTCTTGGACTCCAGCCCCCAACCCTCGTTACACACATGACCCGCAGTATCTACCTGCACTCGTCAGACTGTTACCAAAATTGAATGGAGTCGCCGAGGTGGTAGAAACACCGAAATTCCCAATATTAAAGTTCACTGCAGGGTTAGCAGTTAATCCGAAACCCCCAAAATTAAACCCACTGGCGGTGGAGTTGGCAGTCTCAAGCCCACCAAATCCTGATAGACGTGGAGGCAGAGAAAATTTGAAAACGTGAGAGGAGGGGAAGAGAAAAGGAAAAGAAAGCAAGATAAGAATTAACAAGAATCAGCAAGAGGTTTCACAGCGTGAATAAACCTGAGCGGCGCCGGAACCGGTTAAGAGAGCCAAGGAGGCGGGGACACACAGAGGAGCAAGGGCACCAGGGGCCGGGGTCAGCATCCCCCAGGCTGGGGAGGGAACGGAGGGC